AAAATTAAGAAAAAGGGAATTTCGCATAATCAAAGAAAGATTATCAAATTAGAGAAATTTATGTTACTACGGTAACAATATCACAAAGATGAAATAATAAAAGTGAAAAATAAAAAGTAAACTAATAAAAAATAAAATAATATATATAAAAGTGAAAATAAAAAGTGAAATAATGAAAAGTAAAATAATATTATAGGATTTTATCATTATATAAATATTTTTGGAATTTTTATATTTTTCAATTATTTTTGAATTTGCAATTTTTATATTACTATTATATAATATTATATATTATATTTATTTTTATTTTTATATTTATTTATTATTTTATTTTGAATTAAATTTAAATAAAACTATTTAATATATTATAAATAATTTATTTTAATAAATATAATTTTTAAATATATTATAATTTGAAATTTAAATAATTTAATAATTTAAAAATATTTATTTTTTAATTAATAACTTAATATAGTTATTCAAGTAATTATCTAAATTTAAAGTTATTAAAAATAAAGTAATAATATTATAAATACTTATTTAATAAATAAAATAGTATTTAAAATATAAATTTATATATTTAATAAAGTTTATATATAATTTTAATTTAAAATTAAAATTTAACTAAATATTTTGTGTAATTTTAAAAATTAAAATATATAAAATTTTAATTATATATATATATTTATATTTTAATTAATATTTAATTTGAAAAGTCTTTAAAAAGTTATTTATATCAAAATTAAACTTAATCTGAATACAAATTCAGAATTAATTAAAATTTAAATTTGTAATAAATTTAAAGCAATTTTTAAAGTATTAAAAAAGTCTTAAAAAAGTCTTAAAATTATTTAATCAAATTATTAAGAACTAATTTATTTATAATTAATAAATTTATAAAAATAAACAATAAGAACTTTCATATTTATTATAAACTCAAATAATGAAACAAATTTATTATAATAAAATTAAGTTAATTCTTTCCTTAAAATCATTTATAGTAATATTTGTATTTTATATTTTTTTAAATCAATTTTTTTTCGTAGAACAAAAATAAATTTTTATATATTTTATCTATTGATAATATAAAAATTTATTATTGTAGTTTATTTCAATAGATTTTTAAATATATAATACAAGCAATTTAATTTTTTACTTATATTTTAGAAAAATATACTATGAATTACATTATTAAAATAAACAAATACACATTAACGCATTAAGAACATTTTGAATAATTTTCATTATTAATAATTATCAAAATCATATTTTTAAATATGAGGTCAATAAGTTGGTTATTTTATGTGCTAGATTTTTTTTTAGATATTTTTGTGTTTTATAAATCTAGAATTACTACTTGAATTGAAATTATTATTATTTAGGTCTGGCTCAATAGCGATTCCAAATTACTTTGAGCTGATGGATTCTCAATATGACATTCATTAGAGATGAAAATAATCATAACGCTTGATCTAGTTAATTTGCACAAACATCACATGTTAATTTTTATTTTTTTGACATGAAGAATAGTATGACACATGAAAGTAGACATTTGTGAGCTTTACTCATAATAAATACCTAATGACAATCCTAACTTATTACTTTCCTATGTTGCGAATGTGGTTTTTATTTATTTATAATACAAATTTATGTGTATCAATCAAAATAACTACGTATCTAGTTACCGTCCAAATTAGATATTTTAAGATTTATTTTAATAATATCAATAATCCTTCACTAACACTGAGTACTTTTGTGAAATATGAAATACTTTCAAGTTTTATTGCTAATAAATTAAATCCCCCGACAAGTATAATCAAATTTCGAATCGCATTTGAATTTTTATAGAATTAAGAGCCCAGAAAATATGAGGCCATATATTAGTGTACGGGAACCAATAAATCTTTGCGAAACTTCGAAACTTAAATTTTATGAGAAATAAAAAATTTATATTAATATTTTTTATCAATTAGTATTTAAGAATACATATAATAATATAAACATAAATGAATATGGCAACATGACAATATTATATAAGTAAATAATAGAAAAGCAAGATAGTAAAAATCATCAATTCAATTATTATTTTAATCCATTGACGCAGCTTGCTCTTGCTCTCCTTGTTCTTGGTCTTGTACTTGGTCATGGTCTTCTTCAGAGCTTTCTTCTTCTTGATCTTCCTCTTGTTCTTCTTCGGCATCACCTTGTTTCTTCCTTGGAACTGGGGAAGCAGAAGAATGAACGACCGTTTTTTTCGTTACATTGCTTGAGCCGGCCGCTTGTTCTGATTACAATTAAAAATAATAATAATTAATGCAGTTAACAAAAAAACAAAGTAAACGAAAAATCAATAAATTAAACGATTAATAATCCACTAACCGGCAGAAATTTTCTTTTTCTTAGTTTTTGGAGGCAATAAGGCTTCATGAATATTAGGCATGACACCACCCTCAGCGATAGTCACGTTTCCCAACAGTTTGTTCAATTCCTCATCGTTACGGATTGCCAATTGGAGATGACGAGGAATAATTCTAGCTCTGCGATTATCGTGAGCAGCATTTCCAGCCAATTCCATGATTTCGGCAACAAGGTATTCTAACACAGCTGCTATGTACACTGGTGAGCCGCTTGCAATGCGAAATCCGAATTGTCCTTTGCGTAGTTTGCGATGGAGGCGCCCGACTGGGAAAGCTAGCCCCGCCTTTTTAATAAAAAGAAAAGGTAAAATTTAAAGCTTAAAATTGTTTTATCGCAAATATACAGCTTGCCTAATCTTGAATTGTTTTGTTTTTGCTTGTTTTCTTGATAGAAATTAACGCTACGTACTCTCTGTGAACGCGAAATCGGAGCTTTCTTGTTAGCGTCTTTAGACGTCTCACCGATATTTTCTTTACCAGTCATGATTTATTTTAGTACAAGTTAGAAGGTGATTTTATATTTCTAATAAATTCACGATTGTTTGGCGAATCAAAAAAAGCTTATTTATGAGAAAATCAATCAAACATGCTACGTAATTATAAATTTTTTGTCCATAATGAATTAGTTAAATAAAACCAAATGTTTAAATATTACCATTTTAATTAATCATATCGATATCGTTATAGTATTATGGTGCATAACATCTAAAGTCATCAAACGTTTGTGTTTTATAAAATGTATAAACTTCTTTACAAAGAAGTAAAT